TGCTGCAGCTCTTCGTTCTCCGGTCCGGAATAAGCCCGCGCTTGACTCGATCACTGTAGATTAGGTAGAGAAGATAGTTCAGCTGCCTTCACTTCGTTCGTTCCTCCCGGTCGAGTTTGAACTTCTCTCCTCGGTCTCTACGATTGCTTTACTTAAACAAGTGACATCACTCTCTTTTCATCGTGAGAGAATTTCTCTAACTCTCTTTCTTTCGGATACTTGCACACGCCCTTCATTCGCCGGTTGTTCGTTCTTCTTTACCTTTGTTTACCTTCCGGGTCGACTTCGCCTGTCCTAAAAAGATTCCAATTCGTTTTGAGTACTTATTTGCAATTGAGGCATATCTATGGTATGGAGGCTCTTCTACTAGCCAGGTGGAAGGAAGGAAGCTATTAGAAGTGAAGCTATTAACTTATGATCGGTGTTCACAAGAGCGAGACGGCTCCATGTCTTACAATGTTCAAGCAGCATTCTTGTCGGAAGGATTTTTAGTCGTTCCTACCCCGAAGGATGATGGAACAACATGATGAAGGAGGCGGCGAAGGTTTTGAGGAAAATTTGGGAAGAGAACAAGGGGATCTCTGAAAGGGCGAGTGGCTTTCACCACTTCAATAGCCGGATAGAGAACTCATTCATCCGACCTAAAGTAACTTACACTAGGCGAATAGGGCCTCTCTTCTCCCTCGACCGATTGATTTAGGGTAATAAGGACCTTACGGCTTTAAAAACGAACATGTACCGGAGACGATATAGATGACTAAGCTCCAATGGAATAGGCAAGCGGGATTAGATTACTATAAGATTTAAGATTTACAAGCAGCGAGAGGCCACGGCGTGACAACGAAACCGGAACACGTGGCTTCTTCTTGACTCGGGTATGCTTCCGCTCGGCGAACTCACTTGGCTAGAAAGAGAGCTTCTAGCCAGGAAATAAAATAGATTTCTCTTTATAACCTACATCGTCCTGGGCGACTAATTGTATTAGTGAAAACTAGCAAGAACTCGGGGCCGCTGAACAGCCCTCCCTAAGCCAAAGCTACGAATCTCAAAATCTATTGAGTGCGCTCACTACCCAATAATCTATCTCTAAAAGTTCTTCCTTGCTTAGTGTTAAAGCTACTCTAAAGCGGTAGAATAAGAACAGTTCAAAAACAAACCTTCCTTTCCCCTCCCGCCCTTTTCTCTTGAATCCATATTCCGCTAACTAAGCCGGCTTAACCTTTCCTTCGCTTTGCAGCTTACTCTTTTTTTTGGTAAAACGTAAGCTTTGCATATATCATATAAACGTTGAAGTACAAGGCTCCTACCAAAATTGCACTATTTACAACATATTTACACCCAAAAACATCATTTTGATCACTCAATTACATTAAACTGTGAAGGATACTGCTCTCTCTAGCCGACAGTTTTCGCTTTTGCATACTTGGAGTCTAGTTCGACCACTTGCTGGATTCCCTGGAATGCTCCCTCCACATTTCTCCTCTGATTCCTGAATATTCTATTATTCCTCTCCTCCCGGATGCCATAGATGCAAGCCACCAAAGTAGCATACACAACTGTTTCCTAAATCTGGTTTTCCTGCAGATCTGCATAATCTCCTTCTTCCACCTAGCCATATTAACAGACACGTTCTTATCCCCAGCCATTGTATCATCTTTTCTAGTATTTCAGCTGAGAAAGGGCACTGAAAAAACAAGTGTTCCGTTGTTTCCAGTGATCGAGCACAAACAACAACTGCATCAAGGATTGGAATGTTGAGTTGCAGTAATCTATCCCTAGTCCAGAGTTTACCTTTCCAAACCAGCCAAGTGATGAAGGCATGTTTTGGAACATTAACTCTAGACCATATAATAGCAGCAGCAGGTTCTTTTCTACCTTCTCCCTGCAGCCATTTATACCCTGAGCTAACTGTATAATCTCCCTTCTTCCTGCTCTTCCATCTATCATTCTCAAAACCCTCCCTGGCTTTGTCTCTCATTTTCGAATCTGCTTCCATGGCCAGCTACTGTCAGGCTTGCATTGGATGTCCCAGATATTTTCCTTTTTAAATATACTTCATTCACCCATTTTAACCATAAGCTGTCTTTCTTGCTAGCAATCCACCACACTTGTTTGAGAATAGCTGCTTCATTCCATAATGTGGCATCATGAATACTAAGTCCTCCCTCGATTTACTACGACATACGTTTCCCAGCCTACAAGGGCACAGTACCTCCCGATTCTCTTACTCCCCGGAGGAACTCTCGACATTTACGATTAATGGCTTCAGTAACACTACGGGAAGAATGAACACAGAGGACCAATACACATGCAAGTGCATAAGTACCGAATTGATCAACTGAAGCCTCCCAAAGATACGAGAGGTGTCCGGTGCTCCAAGATTTCAACCGTTTAACCACTTTATCCACTACCGCCTGACAACTGTTTGGTTCCATTTCCTAGGTGACAAGGGAACACCTAAATATTTCATTGGAAAGCCCCCTCCTTAAATCCAACCAGATTACAAAGTTCTGTTTCAGCATATTATCTACACCCCCATATAGATCTCGATTTCATTGGGTTCGCTTTCAAACCGAAACCCTAGAAAATTCAGTAAGGGCTTTCTTGATGTATTTGACTGTCACCAGTCAGCCTTATTGAATATCATCAGTCATCAATGAAACATATGTTGGACAGTCTCATATTTTTACACAAGGGATGAAATTGAAAACCAGGCAGATCAGCAACTTCTCTCAAAAGTCTAGTTAGATACTCCATCGAATGACGAATAACAATGGGAGATTGGATCTCCCCGCCTTAACCCTCGTTTTCCGAGAAAAATCCTACATTTGACCCATTCAAACCGAGAGAGAAGGTTGTTGAACTCACACATTCCATAATCCATTCAGTAAACCTCCTTGGGAAACCATACCCTTTTAGACATTCCTCTAGAAACCCCCATTCCACACAATCGTAGGCCTTCTTTAGGTCAATTTTCAACAAGCAACGGCTACTAATTCCTTTCCTTCTATAGAGTCTAATGAGTTCTTGAGTGATCAAAATATTGTGTAAAATTAGCCTACCCTCTACAAAAGCCCCCGGTTACTATCCACTATTACAGCAAAACTGATTTAAGTCTATTGCAAAGCACTTTAGAAATAACTTTCTATAGAACATTACAGCAAGCTATTGGCCGATATTGACCAGCATTACAAGCATTTTCAGTTTTGAATTAAGGCAAGTACGGTGGAGTTGAGTTGTTTCAGCAACTTACCGGTTTGAAGAATTCCATCACTGCACTGAGATGTCTCCTCCGGTGATTGTCCAAGTGGCTTTGATAAAATCACCGCCATATCCATCGTGGCCTGGGCTTTTGGTAGAATTAATACTCCACAACGCTTTCTTGACTTCTTCTCTAGTAATCGGCCCGATTAACTCCATTTGCTGCTCCGGTGATGTCTAGGTCCTTTCGAAAGACTTCTGTCGAACCGAGCTTCGTGAAGTAGTCTGTCCCATTCTTTGTTGAAAGAAATCCAAGAAGTGTTTCTCAATTGCCCCCAGTCTCTCACAATGGTTCAGCTTACTCTTTGAAAACAATCATTTTAAGTAGCTTGTACTATTGAGCTTAAACCCCATGTTGTCATAGATCGGGTGAATGCCCTTTCCGTGGAGTAAGCCAAAGCGAGTGAGGGGGTCTAGTCGTATACCCCTATCGTCTTATTGTTCTATTCGTGGCGTAGGCGAAGTCGTATTTGTTAGCTGCCATCTTGTTTAATGCCAAGATCGAGGAACTCTTCGTGCCGAAGGGGACAACGATAGCAGCCCACGCCTGTGACAGAGCACACCATGTCGGTGGGAGATCCGGCAGTGACTTTATCCTTCGTCCGGAGGTACCGAAGATTCGATCTTTGTCACCCTCGAGCCCGCAGATGTCAAGGAAGAGCTTCCGCTTTGGGTAGGTCAACTATGCACGCTTCGCCACACCTTCGACGGACTTTTACGACTTCAACCGATTTTAGGTATTCGGAAAGGGTCTAAGTGTAATTGTTAACTCAACGATCCGCACCATGTGGTGCCAAATTTCTACCTTATAGTTACTACCTTTTGTGTACTAATTGCTCCCTTTCCATCGGGTTTCTAAAGTTTATCCAGCCCGACATCGTGAATTCACATAGAGTAACCTACTTCGCTTCCATAGAAGACACCCTTCTTTCTCCTTGAGTAGATTCGCGTTGGATGAATTCTATTTATAAAATATGCTAGGCCTTTTGTTTAAGCCAAACACGAAATGAACGTCCCTACGGTTGCATAGGTTTTTCTCTTCTATCTCCCATCTATCTAGTTTTCACTAAAGCAATTATGATCCGGAAGTCGAATCCTTTGTTTTGTTAATCAGAGGTACTATTCGCCTAAGAAGGCGATTGGCGAAGTGAAACAGCTCTCTCCCGAAAGGGGTGAAGGAATTCCAGCTAGGATATTCCTCTCTCGGTGCTAGTGTAGGGAAGAGGATAGGTTGCCTATGAGTCCGCAACCCCGCTAACCGGTCTTGAGAGTAAGTAAGTAATTCCATGCGTTGTAGTTGTAATATAGTTAGTACCTGCAACCCCGTAAGCAAGCGCATTTAGTAAGACATTTCTTGATCGCTTTAAGCATAATTGGATATAGAAAAGGTTCATATTCCTGCCGGTGCCTGGTTATCAAGCACCTTCGGTGAAAGAAAGGTGCCATAAATTCATTAATGGAAGAGAGACAGTCTCGTGACTGGCGACGAGGCTCGACCAACGGAGAGAAACGAAAGCAGCTCGAAGCGTAGATCTATTCTTCCTATACCTAATTCTCTAGTCATAGATGTATTCTTTCGAATGCGCCTCGGTCTCAAGTGTTTGAGGAAGTGAGCGAAGTTCCCAATGTTAGAGGAATAATAGCTTTCGCCCTAAGGCTTCATGAGAGCCTGAAACGGTTCTAGAGTTCTTTTTTTTTCCATATAGACATAGCGTCGTAATACAATTTTATAGCCTTTCGCCTTCTTCCTTCGTCAATCGCACTTGAACCGAAAGAGCTGGTACCCTCCAAGTTTGGTTCCTTCTTCGGATGTGACGGAAGGAGGCTGCTCTTCAAGCACATTAGGAGTTCCCTTGTGAACACTCTACTAAGTATGGATCGAGGTCGGACTCGGATTCTTCGTCGAGTGATCCGCGCTTCATAACCTATTTCATACCATACCGCTGTCTAGACTGAATTTAGGCTTTACTCTTGTAAATCTTCCACTTGAGACCAAAACGAACCAACTTAGGATCGGTTCGATCGATCTTCCATTTTCGATTAACGACAGTGCACTAAAAAGTCTTCGATTTCGTAACCATTCTCTAAGAATTTGGTAAGCGGCGGAGGGTGCACAGTATAAGAGTCCCCCTAGCGCTTAGTCATATCGGTGTTTGACCCCGTGTTCACATACGTAATTCCTTGGGTGTCCCAGCTTAAACTTTTGACTTGGTAAAGTATAAGGTTCTACCGAAGCGGGAAAGCTTTAGGGTTTTGCTAACCAGTGTGAAGTTGAGTTATATCTTTCTCTAGTTCATGTAAGGCTAACCTTCGGGTTTCGCTTTCAGCAAGTCGCTAAGTCGTCTTAATCCAGCGACGAAAACTCCTGCGCTAGGAGAAGCGCTCAATCCCGTCGCTTCGTCGCTCAGTCCGTTGCTTTTTCCTTTCCGGCCCTTTAGACCAATACCAATTCTAGGTGCATATTCCATTCGTGCATCTGCAGTTTCCTTTTCTTTCTACTTGCTGCTTTGTTCCAGAGCAGTCCCGACTATGATGTAGTATAGGGAATTCTAATAAAACAGAAAGAGGAGAAAGCGCCATAGTGAGAATGAGAACCGCTATGTAGCCAAGTCAAAGTACTAGAAATAGCACTATACTGATTGCGACACTTCTTGTTACTTGACTAAATCACAACAAACAATAAATACTAGGAGTCACATGACATTTTTCTAACTAAAGCCAAGCTAAGCTAACGGGAGGGAAAGGCCCAGCAAGGCTAAAATCGAGCATATAAGAAGAAGTGCTTAAAACTAAGTAAATGGGCGACCACCTTCAACATGAATTACTTTCGGAAGCAGGCTATGCCGCCACACCTCTCCTGTGAAAGAGGGCTACGCAGCTGATTCGGTTAATCCTAATATGATATGCAATTTCCATCTCTTCTATAATCGACACTATGAATATCGTAAGATAAGAAAGCTGCTAGCAGAGGGTGATCGTGGATTGGTCAAGTTCGTGTACCGATTCTCATCGAGATTGGGTTGGTGTTCCGTTAACTATCCTAAGAGTGTAGTGTGGTGGTTGGGCCCTACCCATAGAGGAAGGAGTTGGTAGCGAGACAAGTCATTCAGCAATGAAACTTCCATGGCGTAGATTGACCGTTCACGAATCTGTCTTGAAGAGCGAGATCATTATTGCATAGATAAGGTGCCTATCTTGACGCGGTACTTCCACAATGAGATCGAAAAGCAAAGAAGGGGCTGTTGTTGATACTTGTTTGATTCAAACCGGGTGGCTTTCGGGAGCCGATGGGGCCTTGCCGGCGAATCTTCGTCTTCCTTTTCAGTCGAAGGGGGGTGGGTGAAAGGAAGCTTTATGCGGTAGTAAAGCAACATCTTCGTAAGTACTGTGCTTCGCAAGCCGTAGCCCACCGGTTCCCAACGTTGAAAGATCTTTCGCCGGGTGAGTTGGACTTTTTCACGAAGCGCTTTTGTAGATCCGACTTTGACGTTGAATTCAATTCGGATGCGGAAATGGCTGACCTTGCCAAATTCATTGGGAATTATAATAGAGTGAAAACTCTATTAGATCTCTCATTTGAATTATATTTCCGTGGGAGTCGGTAATTCTCACTTCTATTCAATTAGCTGCGCTTCGTTCGCTCCTTTTCACAATTTTCTTCTGATCAATAGTAAGTAAGAGGAGGAAAAAAAGAAAGACCACCAACATAAAAATTAGATCTTTTGATCACCCATTTTTGGAAAACCGTTTTTTGGAGCTTCCGCCTTACACACGGAAGATTGGATTGCCTGAATCACGAGTCTTATATACTGTGTTACGATCACCTCATATTGATAAAAAGTCCAGAGAACAATTTGAAATGGAAATAAAGAAACAATTTTGGATCATAAAAACAGAAAGGCATGAATTGCGCAAGAAGTTATTTCGGTTAAAACGCCGTGCGACTCGGAGGACATAAGACTTCTTGGTCAAGCCAAAAAGATTGCCGACTGGATGCTCCTACCCCACCATGCCTGGCCCTTTACCTTACCTTAAGAAGAAAAAGAGGAGGTATGAAGCGTGGGAAAAAATGCAAGAAGTGTATACGATAGAAGAGCTTAAGGAGTGGCGGCAAATCTCTTAATTGATCAACGCGAGTGAACTGTGCTTAGACGCTTCGTAAAACCGCACCGATCTACGAGAGGAACTGATAGATGAGTAGGCTTCCCCTTTCGATCGCGAAATGTGATCTAGGACACGATGGGAGTTTGCGTGCCTCGGTAGGAAAGAGATCGCGGAGTATAGCACAAGATCGCCCTTTCTTGCTGCCATGGGGTCGACTCGTGAACAAGGTAAACCCAATGGGAACCAAAAACGGAGGTACCGCATTGGGCGAAGACGATCCAAAAGCGAAGGCTCGCCCACTGAAGGAAGGGGCTTTGGAAACTTACCTTATTATTAAAAGGGAAAGGGACAACCCTCTTACTAATAATAAGAAGGGGGTGAGATAGGCAAAGGTAGCTTGCTTCCAAGCCGGCCCGACCGCGAGGAATCAAGATATTTTTGCCGTGCTGACTTGGATCTCGGGTGACAGAATAAGGCGGCCGAAGCGACGAGCAATTGCGGTCGAAGCTTGGCTACAGCGAAGCGCTTACCGAGCGCGAAGGAAAGGGCCTTCGCCACTTGAGCCGTATGCGGGGAACTCGCACGTGCGGTTCTTAGTGGGGAAAGCTAGTAGGAGCCATCCCACATCCCAATAGCGTATATTTGGAGCTCAATATGAAATCCTATTTTCTTGCAAGACCCGTTTGGATAAGGGAAAACTCCAGAGATTGCTTCAAGTAAGATCCTTGCCTTGACCCTTTCCCGAACCGAACCGGGGAGGGTGATAGGAAAGGGGATCATAATGTCCCATCAATAAAGTGAGGGCTTTCCATTCTTCCTTCCCTCCCCCTCGCTCCCTTTTTTCAAGAAATAAGCCCGCTCCGCCCCTAAGGGGCCCCCGATAAGGAAGGAAACGAAAGAATCTCAATTTTATGACAAATCCGGTCCGATGGCTGTTCTCCACTAACCACAAGGATATAGGGACTCTTTATTTCATCTTCGGTGCCATTCTTTGGAGTGATGGGCACATGCTTCTCAATACTAATTCGTATGGAATTAGCACGACCCGCGATCAAATTCTTGGTGGGAATCATCAACTTTATAATGTTTTAATAACGGCTCACGCTTTTTAATGATCTTTTTATGGTTATGCCGGCGATGATAGGTGGATTTGGTAATTGGTTTGTTCCGATTCGATAGGTGCGCTGACATGGCATTTCCACGATTAAATAATATTTCATTCTGGTTGTTGCCACCAAGTCTCTTGCTCCTATTAAGCTCAGCCTTAGTAGAAGTGGGTAGCGGAACTGGGTGGACGGTCTATCCGCCCTTAAGTGGTATTACCACCATTCGGAGGAGCGGTTGATTTAGCAATTTCTAGTCTTCATCTATCCGGTGTTTCATCCATTTTAGGTTCCATCAATTTTATAACAACCATCTTTAACATGCGTGGACCTGGAATGACTATGCATAGATCACCCCTATTTGTGTGGTCGGTTTTAGTGATGAGATTCTTATTGTTATTATCACTTCCGGTCGGGCGGGGGCAATTACCATGTTATTAACCGATCGAAACTTTAATACAACTTTTTCGATCCCACTGGAGGGGAGACCCCATATTATACCAGCATCTCTTTCGGTTCTTCGGCCATCCAGAGGTGTATATTCTCATTCTGCTGGATCCGGTATCATAAGTCATATCGTTTCGACTTTTTCGGAAAACCGGTCTTCGGGTATCTAGGCATGGTTTATGCCATGATCGTATAGGTGTTCTTGGATTTCTTGTTTGGGCTCATCATATGTTTCTTGTGGGCTTAGACGTTGATACCCGTGCCTACTTCACCGCAGCTACCATGATCATAGCTGTCCCCACTGGAATAAAAATCTTTAGTTGGATCGCTACCATGTGGGGGTTCGATACAATACAAAACACCCATGTTATTTCTTTGTAGGGTTTATCTTTTTGTTTACCATAGGAGGACTCACTGGAATAGTTCGGCAAATTCTGGACTAGACATTGCTCTACATGATACTTATTATGTAGTTGCACATTTCCATTATGTACTTTCTATGGGAGCCGTTTTGCTTTATTTGCAGGATTTTACTATTGGGTAGGTAAAATCTTTGGTCGGACATACCCGAAACTTTAGGTCAAATCCATTTTGGATAACCTTTTCGGGGTTAATCTTACCTTCTTTCCCATGCATTTCTTAGGGCTTTCGGGTATGCCACGTCGCATTCCAGTTATCCAGATGCTTACGCTGGATGGAATGCCCTTAGCGTTTTGGCTCTTATATATCCGTAGTTGGGATTTGTTGTTTCTTCGTGGTCGTAACAATCACTTCAAGCAGTGGAAAGAACAAAAGATGTGCTCCAAGTCCTTGGGCTGTTGAATGAATCCAACCACTTTGGAATGGATGGTACAAAGTCCTCCGGCTTTTCATACTTTTGGAGAACTTCCAGCTATTAAGGAGACGAAAAGCTATGTGAAGTAAAAGAAGAAAGGGTCGCCGATTGCTACTAAGAACCTAACAGAACTTCTTTCTGTCTTATCCGTATGGAACGAACGAAGTGAAGCTATTAGGTAAGGAAGAGGTCTTATTTTGAATCTTTTTCCTATTCATTTTTTAGTTAGAAAGAGAGAACTCTTGTCATG